CAAAGTCAGCACTAAAAAATATTACCTATTATTAAAGTTCATTTTTAGATAAAACACCAACTTTTCCTTGAGTTATCATTTGTTTTCATGCTCAAATTAGGCAACCCTTTATTTTCTAGACTTACCCTGCCATCTCTCTCCTTACTAGCCCCTTCTCTCTCTTTCTCGTGAACCGATATTATTTTTGAAGTATTCTGAAATCAGGGTTTTTAAACCTAAACATCTGGGAATGTAGACATTTTGTGGGATACTTTTTTATTTCTTATTTATATATTCTTCATTTACCCATTTTCCTCATGTTCTGGGAAGAAAATCCTACTTACTGATAATGCATATTCCCTTTTTCTCAGGAAAACAGCAACATAGAAAATTGCACTGGAATTGAGATTTGGCTGTGTATCTCTGTAGCCCCTCCCAGGTTTATAATTCTAGGAATCTCTGAAATTAAAAATCCCGAATTTGAATAGGTGATGCCTCTGAAATCCCAGAGGACCCCAGTTTTTCCCTTACCCCTTTTTGGGGGTGTGCGTGTGTGCGCGTGTGTTTCCTAAGCCTGTGTGTATTTTCTACTTTCCCCATCTGACATCTGCTTTAGCACCAGCGTAGCTAGCTGCTCTGTGTCAAGAGTACTTTAGCCTTTTCATTATGAAAAGAGAAAGAAATGAAATAGTATTAAAAATCCTCCCACCGTCCCCCTACCTCACTTTTCTTTTGTGGTTTCTGAACAAGTTTCTTGCCATTCACCTTTGCATTTGCATTGCTTATTGATTGGCAATTTTAAAATTGTTTATTGTGCTCTTTTGTTTCACTGTTCAAGAGCTAAAACAAAAGCTACCAGGCCCTGCGAGGTACACATTTGCATGCGGTGAGCGTTGCCCGAGGAAAAAGTAATTGCTAATGCATATTTATGTGGCACAAATTTGCCATTTGTTTATGCATAAAATTATCAATAGTTCAGGACGGCCCAGCCATAGAAAATGGTGACCTTTTTAGCTTAATAAATAGAAATCAGCTGTTATTGTGAAGAGATCAGCCATTTATTCTGTGTTGAGGGACATTGCCGGGAAAATGCAGATTGGGGCTGGCAATATCATTAAATGGAAGGCGAATGACCCTTTTGGTGGAGTCTATTATCCTTTATCTAATAGGGGATAAATGACTCTGGTGGCAAATGGAATAAAGAACAACAGTTTTGTTTTGTTGTTGTTGTTTTTTGTGATTTTATAACTATCTGAATTTTAAGCCAGTAAAACCGAACAGGAAATTTCTTGCTGACCTGTTGCTAGAATTCTCTCAAAAACTACCTCTTTTAAAGTTACTTCCCCTACTCATTATTCTCGTACTATTTAAAAGTAAGTCAGGTGATATTTTTCAACAAAAAATGTCTTCCTTTAGTTTTTAGAGTTTGCTTTTTTTTTTTTCCTTGGTGGAGGGCACACTTCTATCTTTGCATTAAAGGTAGCATTGCATATTATGCGGTTTCTCTGTATTTGATGTCTTCAAAATATTAAAAGTAGAA